CTCTCTCTCTCGCCATGACTCTCTCTCTCTCTCTCTCTCTCTCTCGGATCCCTAGCTCAGTTCGCTAGGATGGTTGGCGGTAGGTGGGGAGCTTTGCTCCTTGAACTGTACCCCAGCTTGAGAGAATATATGTCTTCTACATCGCGTAACTGTTGAGCAGAAGAGAAGGACTCGACAGTCATTTCGAGCCCCTTTGTTTGTCATTTTGATGTAGTAGAGGCTTTTTTGACATGTTATTTTATTTTATTTATTTTTCTGTTTCTCGGATAAAGATACAGACGAAAACGAGCCGGAATTTTCTTTTTTTGAATCAGTCGTAGTAACAATTTTGTGAACAGATTAAAGGGGCCCACGAACGGCCACCGACTCGGGTTTTTGTAATTTTGGCGGGAAAAGTTTTGAGGACGGGTCTGGTGGATTCGGTCCCGACTAGCGTACGCATGCAGCGATGCGGTTGGTACTTTTCAGACTTTTTTCGGCTAGTATACAGGTAGAGAGCTCGACCGATACAGAATAGCGAATCGCTCTTATTCTCTTTCCTTTCTAGTAGTACAACACTTTATCCGCTGACGGATACGGTTCTGCACAAACACAACACAAGGGCATATCTATTTAAAGGTAAGTACGATAAGCCGTGGAAAATGGGGAGCAGCTGGTAAAGGGAAAGAGATGGCGGTTTGATGAGACATACCTCGTATCCGGGAAAATGAGTTGTTAGAACGTTGTTTGAAGGAATGGTTTTGGTTGATTACAGTAATGATCTGAGGAGGGACGCGCGGTGGGAAGTATGGAAGGGTAGTGAAAGGAAGAAACGTAAGCGAAAAAGCGAGGGGATGAGAAGAGGAGATGTGGGTATTTAAGAAGGAGAGAGGGAAGGCCTTAACCCTCTTTCTCCAAGCAGTCTTTGCCTTGGTACGGGAATCTCCCTGATGAGCTATGGAGTTACACCCATAGCGAAACGCGTCGGAGAGTTGTGTTTCAGTGCTTAATGATTATTTCTTGATCGGTGATATCGAGTTATTTCGTCGGCTGTATCCCAGTGGTCTGGTAATTGGTCATGCATTCGCTGTGTGATCCTCCAGCTCGTTGACAGTGTGGCCGCTGTCTTGCTTGTATACTCGGAGAACGTGGTAACCTTCCAAGATTGCTGGTTTGGAGTGGAGGTGGAAGATCTCAAGTGGCGACCGGGATCTGGGGTCCCTGTGGGTTTTCTTTGTGTGCTTGTTTTTCTATGTGCATGGCTTTTTGTGCAGGAACGGAGCGGGGATCTGAGCGCCGAGGTTCGACGAAAGGACATCATCTCTGCTGTCGTCTCAGTGGCAGGATGGTATTAACTCCAAGACGTCATGCATCTGCGACGACCTTTACGAACCCATTGTCGGATCAGCCGCGAGGTTTTCCATCGGATGTAAAACCGTGAGGTAGTCTCAAGTTACGGTGAAGGTTTTGGGCGGGCCGGATGATCCATAGACCACATAGGCTGATCGACGAACCGAGAGTGGTATGCTCTAATATCCCTATTGATCGTCTGTTATAGCTGGTCACTTTCCGTAGTCCTCTCTCTAGTATTAATATTACTGGGGTATATAACTACTCCAAGGACCAAATATCTCCGGAATGTTACCTAGATCACTGAGAAGACTTATCTTTCTACCTGTATGCGCTATAGGCTTAGTCCTATTAGGGACTAGATTACGTTCTGCTAAGGTTGGTGGCGTGTGGAATTTAAGAATCTATCTGTGCGTAACGGTAGTCAGGGAATTTAGGGATGATAAGTCGCGATATCAGGGAGTTTGAACTCGAGAGATTGTGGGCGGATTTTGAGAGAGAACTAAGCGATTTCCTTCCACTTTTGCACATAGCGCTGCATGATAGAGAACATGATACGAAGGTGGAACTATTGAACCAACTAGATAGGGTGCTTGGGCGTGTTTACATCATGGGCTGTTTACTCAGAGACGCGAGGACTAGGAGGGAACGTGCTAGGCGAAGAAGGCAAAATGATGCCTAACCACCAACCTGCGGTCCTGGGGGCACAATCACCGTATCTGAACCCGGGTCAGCCATTTAACGTAGGCTTTGGAGGATCGATCCCAGGCCCAGGAGGATCGATCCCAGGCCCAGGAGGATCGATCCCAGGCCCAGGAGGATCGATCCCGGGCACAATTACTTGCCATATCTGTGGGAAGACAGGACACTACGCCAGGAACTGCTGGCAAGCTCAAGAGCGATCGACGCAGACTTCCGACAATGATTCTGAGATGAGAGAATATTTCAAGAGAGCGATCCAGAGGGAGAAAGAGGAGAATGAACGGAGAATGCGGGAGGAGGCAGATAGGAGGAGGTACGAAGAAGAGCAGCGAAGAGAATCGGAGAAATTAAGGGAGGCTGAAGCCAGAGAAGCAAGATTGAAACAAACTATCACTAGGCTTCTCACACAACAGAAGAAAGCTGCGTTACCTATGATGGAAACAGGAGTTCGGAAGAGGTCACCAAGATCGAAAGCCAGGATGCTGCGGGAGATCCGCAGCTACATAAACAAATCTGATGATGACAGCGATGAGGTCAAAGAGGAGGCAAGTAAGTTAATCGACGCGATTGAGAATCGAAAGAGGGAGGGAAAAAGAAGGAAGGATTCACCTGATCCTGAGCTGTCGATGAAGAAGAAGAACATCCACGTAGCGACCATTGAAGAACCGCAGGAGGAACTGAGCATTCCCAAGAAGAATCTAGCCGTGGGCTGCTCGAATGAAGGGATGCTCGAGTATGCATTGGAAGTGCATAGGCGGCTATCCGCGAAGAAGGTAGCTGAGCTCTGGAAATTGTGCGGAAAAGAAGGCCTTCAATGTGCTCGGAAAGACGAAATGGTGTGTGAGTTAGTTAGATGCAAAACAAGGCTCGCGTACGAAGGCTTCATGGAGCAAGCCACGTCGAACATGGGAGGTAAGTAGACATGGATGATTTGAGAAGCGTGATGGTAAGTAGATTGGAGTTTATGGGGGTAGGAGGGAGGCTGGTTCACTTAGAAGCCGAGAATGAAGTCACTCGTTGTTTTCTGCTGCTTTCCATCCAAGGGTATTTCCCCTGGATGAAAAAATGGCTGCGGCTTATGAACAACGAGGCCAGTGAAAAAGTGAGTAATAGTGATCCAGGGGTTTACTTAGTAGCCAGCCCTTTCTGCAAACATATCTACGTGGGATGTACTGTTAGGAGGATAATCACGAGGTGGGCTGAACACATTAGGTGCGTGGTATCTGGAAACTTTGGTAATGCTCGTAAGTTTCACGCCTGGCTAAAGAGGTTCGAGTGGGAAAACTATGTAGTTATTCCTATAGTTGTGGGAATAACGAATTTAACGAAGATGGAGACCACGCTGATCGCTAGATTTTCTCCAGCTTTGAACTGTATAGGAAAGAAGGGCAGAAGTTCAAAGGGAAGAAGATGTTGGGGAAAGAAGGAGAGGAAACATCGACGTGATCAGACGAGCGGTGGGAACCTGGTATTGTTTTCTTTCAACGGACGAGAATCGGCTTCTTTGCTTGACATCTGTCAAGAGATACATAGAACCAGAAAAACAGGGCGACTGTGGTCGATAGCTGGCAATATCAGGTGTGATGGGTGGTCGAAGATAAAGTCAAGAATAGGTGAATCGCTGATAGTAATCGGCGGTAAGAAATTGAAAATCAGGGAGGCTCGGGCGCAGTTGAAGAGGGGGGCTCACATCCAGATATCCATGCTGAAGTGGGTTCCCTCGTCCATAACAAGAAGGCGGAATTTCCTGAGGGATATGCTGACACGGCCAGGGAAGATTACGATGGCGTACAAGATGTCCTCCGCCAAGTTGATCGCACTTTTTCGGATGGCATCATTGTTTTCAGCCAAAAAGGCTCGAGCCGCCTTAAAGCTCAAGCTTGCGAAGGTTATCCGAACGAGGTCCGACTGCGATGTGAGAAGAAGGCCGATCGTGAAAGTTCCGTTCTCTCCGACTCTAAAGACCGGAGCGATTCGGGAATAGGCGATTTCAGTTTTTGCTCAAGTGATCTCTGATGCTTGGATCCGAAGTTTTGTAGCGGGCCGAGTACGTGTGGTAATTTTGAAGAGGAAAACGGTGGGTGATATCATTCATAATCGCCGCACGTACACCAAGCTGGATATAGCAAGTTGCGCATGCTCAAAATTTACACTACCTCGCCATCAAGGTCACATCAAGGTGAGGCTGGACCAGATAAGCGACGTTCCACGGTTTCTCCATAACTCTCGTAACGTGACCTAGGGGGAGGAGAAACCAGACAGACTGAGGAATGGGATCCTCGACCCTCTGAAATCTTGGGCAAAGGGGAAAACCGTGGTCATCAGCCAGGTAGGATTAGAAAACTGTTACCAGAAAAAGGTGGGAAAGATAACAGGTATGTCTGAGTTGCAAGTGAGGGAGTCGGTTAAGTGTTTCCGAGAGCTCGTAATTGTGTCGGTGGACATGAATCCAGGTGCCTCGGTAGTTCTGTGTCCAGTACTATATATGCATGCGCTTAACATGACCTTCCGGTGGAACCCAGAATTCGAATCAGTATCTGGAACGGAACAAGAGGTCTTAACAGTAGCCAGGAGCAGGTATGTGGACATGGGTCTGGAAAAAACAGCCGAATCGAACAAGGTAGGAAGGACAGGTACGGCGTACGTGATCCCCAAAGACAAGGATCTTGAACGCTGGCGACCTATCTCTCCTGCTTCTTCCGATCCTGCAAGATTATCAAGCTCCAGATTGGGTAGAGCAATAAGGTACATGTTAATGTGTGTGAAGAGCTCTCGTCATTTCAATCTGGATGCTACAGATAAGTTAAAAGCAACTTTGGAAAAGCACCAGAGGGCGTTGTCCACTAAGAATGATGCGGTCCTAGTTCGAAGTTTTGATATAAAAGATATGTTTTCCAAACTGACACACGATAGCGTAATTGAGGCCGTAACTTGGCTAGTTAATATCCACCGGGAGAGGGGAATAGTTGCAGTAAAGGTCAGTTGTCGAGGGAAGGGATGCGTGATGCCAAAATCGACCTGTGGGTATGTAAGAAGGAGAGAGGGAAGGCCTTAACCCCTATTCTCCAAGCAGTCTTTGCCTTGGTACGGGAATCTCCCTGATGAGCTATGGAGTTACACCCATAGCGAAACGCGTCGGAGAGCTGTGTTTCAGTGCTTAATGATTATTTCTCGATCGGTGATATTGAGTTATTTCGTCGGCTGTATCCCAGTGGTCTGGTGATTGGTCATGCATTCGCTGTGTGATCCTCCAGTTCGTTGACAGTGTGGCCGTTGTCTTGCTTGTATACTCTCTCTCTCTCTCTCTCTCTCTCTCTCTCTCTCTCTCTCTCTCTCTCTCTCTCTCTCTCTCTCGCGCGCGCGCGCGCGCGCGCGCGCGCGCGCACGCTCCCTCCCTCTGGAGCCTCTTTTTGTTCATTACCATTCGTTTTCTTTGTTTTTTGTGTTTTCATATTGGGATTTTTCTTTCCCTTTTTTTTTTTTGGTTTCTCTTTGTTGTGTCACGGCGACATAAGTGGGGTCCGGCCTTTAGGCACTGACTGGGCCTTCCGTTGGACGACCCTTAACGGGGAAGGCCTGCGGCCGATAGCTGGGCCAAGTACTGGTGGTTTAAACACATTTATTTGCATTGAGCTGAAGCCGTGCAATGGCCCTGATATTTGGATTTGTCTCAAAGAGAAAATCCTACAAGGGGCACTGCGCCCGGTTCCCAGCATATGTTTCTCCCCCACTAGCAGATTGAAGCTGTTTTCTTTGTGGCAAAAAGAAATAAAGAAAGATGTTTTCTTCTTGGCAAAATATCACGCGCCTGTGGAGAAAACAGCCGCTTAGCTAGAAAATGCAATGAAAGTACCACGGCCGTAGTGTCAGTCAGGGTGTCATAACCACGGGGGTCGGCCGTGGTGTCAGACAGGGAAAGTCGAACCAAAAAAAAAAAGGGGCAATGGATTGTTTTCTACCGAAATTGCATTTTCGAACTCGGCGGCTTTTTTTTTTTGCACGGTGGCATGTTTTTTGTTGCCTTTGCGAACTCAAAACCTGCTGCGTCTGTACTTGTTTCAAGAAAGGATAAAGAGAGAGGCTGAAATGGGCTACCGTTCTCCCCCGAGTAGAACTTACCTGCCTGCATTTGGAGCAACTGACAGTCTAAATACAGATATTATGACCGTACTGAGCCTCTGTGTTCCAGGGAAGAAGATAGTAACCCAAGGAAATAGTCTCCTTTCATCGCAGGCAGTCTTTTGCAGACTTTGGAGATTTCTCTGTACTACCGTCTTCACCCGAATAGAACACCTGGTCATTATAGCCGTATTTGGGGCAACTTTCAGACCAAATGCAGCTATAAAAGCCTATAATGACCGGGCGTTCTATTCGGATGAAGACTGTAGGTGTTCCACACCACTGCCCCGCAGTCTCTCCTTGTCTACAAAGAATCAACATACCCCACTGTGGCAAGTGTTGCGAAACAGGCGCCTGCTGGGGGTTCTAATAGTAGATTCACCCGTATAGGTATGTAAGTCTCCGCCGCCCGTCATTCTTAGTGGAATGCCCTTCATGCACAAGAACACCTCACGAGATCCACCATCGGCTGTGTGCAGGCATATTCTTTTCCTTTTTTTTTCTTTTTTTTTCTTTGTTTTTTTCTCCTTACCCAGCACGGGCCTTCCACCTTACACTCCTCCCGTCGCTCGTCAACCTGTGACTGTTGCTCACATACCTCCACTTGTCTTGCTCGCTCAGAAAGGAACTCTATAACACTATGGGGTTCTTCGTTCCCATTGCTCACCGAGTCACCGACAGATTCTTAACGTGCGGGTCCAGCGCAAACCGTCCACCATCCGACTTGGCTGGAGTGACTTCGGACCAAGCCACTTTCACGATATCATACGTTAATGGCCCTCCTCGTCCTCAGCTGCTGGCTTTTACAGGCACTTGGCTGCTGCCAGCCACGACTAGGCATTTTCGAATGAAAGCCCTCCCACAACGAGAGAGATCTGCAGGTCGCTTTCCGCTTCTGGATGGGTTTTCTTCCCCACCCACACCATTTCCACCAAGCTCTGATCTTCTTGGTCACCTACACAGTTCTGAAGTGATACCTCCAACGCCAGGAACCTTGAAAAAAAAAAAAAAAAAAAAAAGGGAACCTTTCCGATGTGTCCACCAGAATCTTTGATTCATTTCCCCCTCCGTGCAAAACGATACTGTTTGGGTAAAAAATAAACAGTTTTTTACCACTCTGCATGAGCCTCGCACAGCAATACAATAGTAAACAGACCCCTAAAACTGTAGACAACAATCCTACTGTGCTTGCTGACACATCCTTAGGACATCGTCTGCCAAGGCACTGCCTGTTCTGTGAGTCGGGAGCAGCACTTGCTCCAAATCAGGTACAGCTTCGCAAAAGCATACACAAGTAACATATTTGGCAAGACAGCGTTGATTGCCTCTCACAGACAGAGGGGACTAAACCACCAGTACTTGAGAGCCACTTTTTTCCGCGGTTTGAAATGCCCTGCGTGCCAAACAAATAACGAATTGGCACGGGCGTCCTCAGCCATGTTAATCCGCCAGCCGACCGACCGCCAACAGTTGCGACGCGCATGCAGCCGTGTCGGAGAAAAATGGCTGGGAGTCGTACTCTTGGTCTAACACGGCATCACAAGGTTAGGCCAGAAGGATAAGGGGCAGGTTTGAAAGATGCTACCCGCGGAACCTCACGCTGAAAAGGACAGATGACCGGACGGAGGAATGGGATTTTTTGGGGTGCCAATTGAGGGTCTGTAGGTCCTTTCCTTTTTTGGGCTCCCTGCAGAAGTTGAAAAATGAAAGGACCATTTGGTCAAAGAAGCCTTTGGTGATAAAAACGGGTCAGGACTTCAAGTCCTGGACGAGTCGTAAGCAGAAGGTTGCTGCGATCGCAGGGAGTCTGCATCCGATGGACCGAAACTCAAAGGATCGGACTGGGATTCTGGTACAGGTGTTTTTGTTGCGACAAGAGTATCGTGAAAAAGGGTTTCCGGACC